TACGCTGCCTGTCATCTTAAAATGTATTACTTTACCATTTTAATGTGTGAAACCCAAGTGTTGCCAAGTCCTCTGTTCTCTGTTTCTTTAGTATTGAAGCACAGTCCTCCAAATACAGTTTCTAAGATTTACATATCCTGGAGGCAAAAGGGCACTGTTTGTCTTGCTGACCCCAAGGACTGACCCAGTCCTTTTCTGTTTTTTCCTCAACCACTCTACAGAGGATTGTTGTGCATTGTAGACTTCTACTGAAGTCTTGAGAAAAACAGGCGAATTACAGCTCAGTCTGTAAGTATGGAAAGAGTATTTTCATCTTCAGGTGCCTCTGCCTGCTACCATGTTGCTGGGAGTTACTCTCCCTTCTATGCCACATCTCTCCAAGTCTTGTCCTCTCTGAGTTCCAAGTACCCCTGAAATTTCCTTCTTTTTGAGCTTCTAGGGGAAGCCACCTTAGTTCCCACTAATTTATTAGGCAGCCTATTCCAGCTTTCCTGGTTGAAATTAATTGTTTCTGCCTGTGGGTTTTTATAAGATTGTCGCCCTCAATTAAGCAAATTTCATCCCCCACCTTCTAGCTCTGAACTTGCCAGTCTTCTCCACCAGAAATAAGCCCCCTGAGGTTGAGGACCTTGACTCGTTCATGTTTATATAATAAAGTATAATGTTTCACTCATAGTAATTATTCAAATAAATCATTCTACATGCATTGCCAAATGCTCAGGGCTTTGCAAACATGAGATTGCATTTAATCCCCTCATGATGGTTGCTTCGGCCTCATGCAAGCCAGTTTGATTCTTCAGCTGTTCCTAATTGAGATTCTTTCAGTCAGTGACAAATGATGGGGTAAATGCAGCATGAGACCTGAGACTTAGCCTTTCATGGGTCAGCATCTGTGGAGTCCTGGGCTTCCTTTTCCTGTAGTATCCATGATGGTCACGGTGGGGAGTGGGGGAAGGGTAAAGATCTCCATGCCTCACCCATCAGAGGCAGCATCAGCACTGGGCCAGGGAATGCCATTTGTTGAGGGCCTGCAGAGGTTGGTGACCTTGAATGGGATATTGTCAAGAGTTTTTGGTGCCTGTGAGGCTGTGGGAAAAGGGTGGCTGGTAACCAGGTGGATAATCCTTTTCTCAGAGGCCCTTCACCTCTACCGTGGTTCCCTGTGATATTTTGTTCTTACTAATGACTTGGGGAACTTTAAAAAAATTCACTTCATTATTCATTGATCGGTGGCACCAGGATTCACTTTCACTGGTTCTACAAAGGACCCTTTGGTCAATTGGGGTTGGCCAGTGGTTTTTCCTTGGAAAGACACCAGTGACAGTTTCTGTTCCATGGTGGGTGGAGTGATCTCATTAGTAGTAGTTGTTATTGGTGAATTTTCACTCAGTAACCATTCATCCAATGACACAGTAATTACGATCATTGCAGGCATTCTTCTGTTGGAAATAAGCCAAGTTTTATGTTGTTCTTTCTCTTCCTTAAGCATTTTGAAGAAAAAAACTTTCTTAGAAAAATAACTGTTTGATAAATGCTTGAATTTCAAGTAGTAGGAGATTTGGGGGTTATTTTCTTTCTTCCCTACAGGAAATACTTTAACTTTGGAGTAGGGGTTTTAGATTTCAAAAATATGTCATTTTTTTCTCCCTTTCAAAGGCTGGGAGAATATGACCTCTGCTTGGCCAGTCACATGTAACAGATTTTTGAGAGCAAGCTGGAGATGTGCTTTGTAACTGGTACTCTTGTGGGGAGTAGCCTCACACTTCTCATCTGGTCCTAGGCTAACATCTAGCAGAAGGTCCTTTGTTGATTCCGTTGTAGATATGGGAGTGTGGGGTGAAGTTCCAGATGTCCACCTCAGTGCTGGTGCAGGCAGGCCCGTCCCAGGCTGCTGTGGAGCTGTGCCTGGTTTTCCCACTGTCCTTTGGATTGAGGAAGCTGGTTTGGATTCCCCAGATGTGCTCAGTTCTGGAAGGTGAAAAGAGGCTTCTGGCTCAATCGCCACCCTTTCTAAACCGAGTAACACAAATCTTCTTAATGTTGGCTTATACTCAAGTGATGGGGCAAATTTTTCAAATTGGAAGAGTTGAGGAAAAAAATATTCAATGACACTTGCTACAGATGGAAAGATAGACTTTATTCAGGACCATCACCACAGGGATGGGGACCGTTGTAATGGAATTTTACAGCAGGGGAGAGAGATCAGGCTCAACTCCAGATACAACAGGGGCAAGTGGGAATTCATAGCCAAGGAGCAGGGTGGGGGTCAGGGCTTGGAAAATTACGGACAGGAAACATTAGGGGCGCGGGGGGGGCGCAATTCTGGCTAAACTGGCCTAACAGGATTCTTGCTGAAGGCAGGTCAGGGTGATCAGACATCATCTGGGGGATGGCCGAGGGTAAGGAACCTGATCAGATATGGAGGGTGACGAATTCTGGCTAAACTGGCTTATCAGGGTTCTTGCTAAAACTAGATTTTTGCAAAGGAGTATACAGATGGGCCTAGAAGAAAGTTCAGGAGCTGACTAAAGTTCGGTCAAGCAATTTGTCAGAAGCCAGATTGAAAATTATAACAATTTCTAGACAGGCTAAAGTTCTCCTTCCATGAAATATTAGTGTGTAAATTTTACTGTGGAGTAACTGTGAGATTCCACTTCCAAGATGAATGACTCATGAGTCCTTTGTTTTGAGGTAATTAGCAATAGTAGGAATAAAGAAGATAGGAGGGTTTGTGTATCAGTCAGGGCTTTCCAGAAAAGTAGAACCAACTCTTTTTCTTTCTTTCTTTCTTTCTTTCTTTTTCTTTCTTTCTTTCTTTCTTTCTTTCTTTCTTTCTTTCTTTCTTTCTTTCTTTCTTTCTTTCTTTCTTTCTTTCCTTCCTTCCTTCCTTCCTTCCTTCCTTCCTTCCTTCCTTCCTTTCTTCCTTTCTTTCTTTCCTTCTTAGCTTTATTTTAAGGAATTGGCTCACAGAATTGTGGGGTAGGGGCTGCTAAGTTCAAAATCTGAAATCTGCAGTCCAGACCAGCAGGCTGGACACTCAGGTAAGAGGTGATGCTGCTGTCTTTAGGCAGAAATGTTTCTTCTCTCTTTCTTTCAAGGCCTTTAACTGGATTGGATGAGGGTCACTTACATTATCGTGGGTGATCTCCTTCACTTAGGTCATCTGATTGTAGATGTTAGCCACGTCTACAAAATACCTTCACAGCAACACCTCAGTTAGTGTTTGAATGAGTAACTGGGCACTATAGCCTGGCCAAGTTGACACATAAAACTCTCACAGTAAGTGAAGTTGAAGTTTTTGCCGTGAAGTGGAAGGAAACCGAAAGGAAAGGAATCATGGATTCCTGAGGTGGACTATTGCTGTATGATGAGAAGGCAGGAGGACCAATGAGTATGCTGACATTGGGGCTATCATTCTGGGATAGGAGAGGAATGAAGAACAATTTCCTAACCTGGGATGCATAAGCCAATTCAGGCATTCTAAGATGTTTTCCATGTGCAAGAAATCCCTGCATCTCTGGGACCAAAGGCAGGCAGTCTTTTGTTTTGAGTTTGAGGCAGGGGGCTAGGGGAGGGGCATGGGGGGGTGATAGCCACAGCTCTGAATTGTAAAATCTGAATTGTAGAAAGACATTTGGCTGGAAAACTAAACACAGGAAAAGCTGCCTCCTAGCTTGTCATTTATCTATAAAGATAAAATGAATTCACTAGCATCCCTTTGAAACTTGAGGGATGGATATCTTAATAAATATCCATGGAGTCAAGGGATAAGGTATGAAGATTAACTGTATAGAGGCCACTATTACTAATTTAAGATGTGTAAAAATGTCATTATTGACTGCATTGTGCTGGCTTTATCATTGTATATTAGTAAATATGAAAATATTTGTCAGAGATTCACTCAGGACCTTATTCCTTCCACCTTGCTTTTCTCATAAGATTACTCTCTACAGCCAGGGATTCTCCTATCAGGAAGATTCTTCAGGAGCCCAACCTTCTAGATTAGAGAGGAATTCCACTATTGGCTCCTATATATAAAAGCAGGGGCATTAAATTCATCATCGTGTATATGACAGAGCATATCTAATGGGGCAGTGGAGAAGGTCTGTTCTTCAATTATTAATAAGTTAGCACTATCAATACATTTAACAAAACTCATTTCCCTTCAATAAAAGATAACCATTAACCTCTTCTAAACCAGGCACATCCACTTGGGGAATTTAAGTAGGTTGGCTCAATAATTGCATAATGTTGCCCCTTCTAGTGTCTTCCTGTTTGGTACCTCCTCCCTACCCCCAACCCCAGCTGCCAAAAACATTAGATTTTCTTGTCTAATGAAAAGGAGAGAAATAGAATCTTCTTCTATGACACTTCCTGAAAATGGCCTTTAAGCCAGAAAACATCACATACTTGCCTATAGATAGATGGTCACTAAGGCTTTGGATTTTGTAGTTGTAATGGGCAGCAAATAGCTGTGGGACCTCCTAAAATCTGTAAGTTGCCTTGTAAAACTGTCTTGTTTATGTACAAGATCTTACAGTTTCTGGAGTATATGTGGTTTTTTGTAAACTTTTATTCTGGTTAAAAATTTAAAAGGGAGCTACTTGTAATGTCCTTAGCATTAACTTAAGCTATAGTGGGTCTATAAAAAAATTACTGAGATGCTATTAAAAGTATATGAATAATAAAACAGCTACAATAAGAAAAGCTTTAGAAGAGTAACTTGGCCTTGGCAGTTCCCTCTCTTCAGAAAGCCCTGGGATGGGGGGTGGGCTAGATGGGGGCGGGGATTGGTTTGGCTGCACTCCGGCAATGTCCTGGGGGGGTTAAATGTTATTTGGGAATCAGGGAACCTGTACCTCTGTTTTTCCCCCTTTATTAGGAGTAAAGGCTGTAGGACATTTTCTGGGTTATAAATGGTAACAGAGTATGATGCAATAATATTTCTAGGAAATCACCTCAGGGTATTTTGTTTATAAAAGATATTATGAGGGTGCAAGTTTTGTGACGTTGTTCTATTGGTAAAAGTCAAAGGCACTAATAGCCCAGGGCCATGTGGGGTGTGATGGAAAAACTTGGGGGTTTTCAGAGCAAAGCGATTCTGGATTTGTATCTACGTTCTGCTGTTTAGAAGCTTTGCAACCTTGGGCAAGTTCCTTAAGTTCACTAAACCTTAGTTCCTCCTTTTATGGAATGGAATTAATTATCCCTGTTGTGAAGTGTTACTGAGAGGATCCCTCAAGATGACAACATATATAAGGTGCAGAGCACATCTCTGGACCCTGTCTCTTTCTGTTACTTTGAGATTATTAGTGATCTAATATGATGTCTATGATATTTATGTGGTATCACCATCTGGTAGACATCTCTTTTTGCAGCGGTGAAATGGAGCTGATGTTTGAGATCACAAAGAATGAATGTCCTTCTGTGGTGTTAGGAAGTTCAAGAAGGCTGCATTGATCAAGAATCTTGAGATCTTTAGACTTCTATCAAAACAGCTGCTGCTGCTTTCTTTAAAAAAGAAAATATATATATATAAACTGTTTTATTGAAAAACAGCATATGTTTAGAAAAGTGCCCAAATTACAAGTATACAGCACAATAAATGATCACAATGTGAAGAATTCTGTGCATTTACCACTCATATAAAGACTCAGCTCTTTATCAGCACCCCCAAAGACCTCTTTGGGACCACCCCCCATCATTCCCACCTCCCTCTCAGAAATCAACATGGTCCTGACTTCTCACATCATCAGTCAGCTTTGCCACCTTCTGAAGCTGCTATAAATGGAAAGAATTTATTTTGTGACTGGCTTCTTTCACTCAACATTTTTATAAGACTCATACATGCTATTGCGTATACCAGTGCTTCTTTCATACTTGTGCATGGTACATGCATTATATGAATATGCCACCATTATTATCCATCTGGTGTCGATGGATATTGCAGTAGTTTCTAGTTTTGTCTATTAAAAATAATGCTGCTATGAACATTTTAGTGTATCTCTTTTGGTGAACCTATGTACACATTGCAGTTGGGAGTATTCCTTGAGATGGAATTGCTGACTTCGCAGGTAGGCACATGATCAATTTTAGTAGAGATTGCTAACCAGTTGACCAGTTGTCCAAAGTAATTGCATCTTCCAATGCACTATACTTAAATGTTTGGGAAAGTGATGCAGGAGAGTTTTGGTCGTACCATATGTGTGCCACACTGGGTACAGTCTTTTTCATTTTGGCTACCCTGATAGGTGGGTATCTTACTGGCTACCCTGATAGGAGTGGTATCTTACTGGGATTTTGCTTGTGGTTCTCTGATGACTAATGATCTTGAACACTTTTGAATTTATCTGCTGGTCATTGAGACTTTCTCTTTTTCTCTTCCTCTCTCCCTTCTTTCCTTTCTCCTTCCTTCCTACATTCAGTGGCCACCCGTGTTTCAAGTTTTGTGCTATTGCTCTGTAAGACTATATGTTAGCTCAAACTTAGGCTATTCATTAAGATGGAAAAGAATGGACTTAGGCAGGGCACCTACCCCCATGCAGACAGCACTGGCCTGAGAGCTAGCATATCTGGGTCCTACTCTCAGATACTCTGACTGTCCTTGTGATGTTGCTCATTGTTGCATGATGTCTTGGGTCTCCTTTTTTTTTTTTCTGATTGGTAAAATAAAAAAAACTTTAAATGATTTATAAGGGCACTTTCATCTCTGGCATTTTGTGATTGCACATAATTTGGCAGAACATTTACCATGTCCTCACTGCCTTTTGACCATTCTGCCCTGAAGTGATCTGGAATAGTGATTCTAAAAAATGGTCCCAAGAATCAGTTTGGTGTAAGTATAGCTTGTCCCTTAATCTTATTGACAAAGAGAACTGGGGGAAATAGAAGCTGGTGATACAGAGGAACTTGTAGTTTTTAAGAAACTGGAGAAATCCGTCAATAATAATATGAATCTGAGGCCATCTGGGCCAAAGTAAAAACTGGGAAGTCCCTAACAATGGTCATAGTTCAAAACTTCCCTGAGAATCATGATTATATTTATTCAGGATCTGCTCAGATTTTGAATGACCTGTTTGACTGCACCCTCTTCCTTGCCCCATCTCTGTGCATTCATAGCAGGACTAGAGACTGTCAACAGAACATGGCTCCCTAAAGTTGCCTCTTATCCAGCAGATGACTGAGGGATCAGTGATGGGTGTGGGGGGGATCACTGGGTGGTTCCACAGACTCCTTCCTCCCTCATTTTGGGAGTCCCCCTATGTCCCACTATGCTCCTTCCATCAGGGGGAGTCACCAGGGCACTTATGTTGCTGGATTCAGTCACTGACAGAACAGAATTTACTCAGATGAATTTTTAAAAAATGCACAAGCTTTGTGGCTTTTGTTTTGTTGCTTACAAATATTTTATTTTGCCTTGACTTATAAGACCATAGACTAATGTCAACAGCATCATTATTCTATGCAGTTTTAAAAATACATATAAACATACTGTATATCTATAGTGATTAATTTAACCAGTTCCTTGTGTAGGCATTTAAATTGTTTAGTTTTCCTGTATCAGAAACTATAAACATACTTTTAGCTAATTCCCTATGTATGAGTCTAATTTTTAAAAACTTTTTTATTATGGAAACTTTCAAACATATACAAAGGCGTAAGGAGTAGTGCAATAAATTCCCATGAATACATCATTTAGCTTCAAGAATTATCAACACATGGCAATCTCATCTCATTTATACCATTCCAATGTCCCCTCCCCACTTTTTGAAGCAAATCCCAGATATCATATCATTTTATCCTCAGATAATTCAGTGTGTATTTCTAAAAAGATAAGCACTCCTTATAAAAATTGTGGTGGTCTTTCATGTTTAAACCATATGTGGTTCGTAGACAAAATTGGGGAGAGTAGGTAACTGTGTTAGTTCTCTATTGCCGTGTGACAATTTACCACAATTATAGTGGGGTAAAACAATACACACCTATTATTTAGTAGTTTTCGTGGATCAGGAGTCCAGACCTGGTTGGGGTGTACTCTGTGTTTTGGGGGTCTCACCAGGCTGCAGCTGAGGTGCTGGCTGGGGCTGCAGTGTTCACCATTGCTCAGAGCCCTCTTTTAAGCTCACATAGGTGTTGGCAGAATTTGGTTCCTTGTGGTTGCTGGACTGAGGTCCTCAGCAACTTGAGTCCACCCATAGCTCCCTGCCACACAGTTCTCTCTAGAGGTACTCTCACAACACACAGCCTGCTTTTTTGAGCCAGCAAGGGAGAGAAATCTTTGATGGGAGCATGGACTCATACCCTCTTTTTAGAACTTTCCCCCGATTAAGTCAGTCCCATCTGCGATAAACCCTCTTTTGATTGCATAAAAACCAACTGATCTGGCCCCTTAATTACACCTGCAATATCCCTTTTGCCCATTCTGCAGGGGTGGAGACTGCATAAAGACATGAATAGTAACAAGGAAGAAAATCATACCTGGAATTCTGTTCTATTGCTAATTTAGGGCAGGAACTGGAACTTTTCTTCTGTGAAGGGTCAAATAATAAATTTTTTAGGCTTCGTGGGCCAGATGGTCTTTGTCACAACCATCCAACTCTGCTGCTGTCCCAGGAAAACTGCCACAGACAGTGTATAAATGAATGGGCGTGGCTGTGTTCCAATAAAGCTATTTACAAAAACAGGTGGCAGGCCACATTTAGTCAGTGGGCTGCAGTCTGCCAACCTCTGATGTTCTGATATACTTTTCCCTCTTTAAAAACACCATCCCATACAATGCCACAGTACTTATGACACTGTCTTACAATCTGCTGGGCTAGAGTCCTGTCTTACGAGCACTATAAGAATAGTGATCTAAAAATCTGTCCATGCATTTCTTATAGAGCCATCCTGAGGACATTATTCATTACATCTCTCAATAATTCCTACCGTGAAGCTCCATGTGAAGAACTTTCTTTGGAACTTAGTGGTAACAGAAGTTTTGCTTCCCCTGACTAACTGATTTTTTTTCCTATTAAAAAAATTACATAACTCACCATATTTCCCTTTTTGTTTGGCTTCCAGGAAGCTCAGAGTCTAACTTGAAACTCAATTATCACAACTATTAAGACCTGACAGATTGCATATTGTGCTTATCCGCCCATACATTGGTATTTTATCCTTATTTTAATTTTCTTTGTCTCTCTATTTTACTATTATTTTATTGTATAAATGTTGTGAAATAACATCAAGTAAAAATATGAAATTCTATACCATGGATTCAAAGGAACACTGAATTTGTATTCATAATAGCTCCAAATTAGAAAGAGCCCACATATCCATTAAGAGGAGAGCTAATGAATTGTGGTATCACCATATAATGGAATTTTACACAGAAACAAAAGGATCCAAATGCTGACACATACTACAACATGGAAGGACCCCCACAGACATCACACTGATTAGAAGAAGCCAGACACAAAAGAGTAAATACAGTACGATTCCATTTATACCAAGTCCGAGAATAGGCAAAACATGATTGCTGTGGGGTAGGGGAGATTTTCTGGGAAGTGGCAAGAGGAAATCTTGTGGGGTGCTGGAAACGCTCTATATCTGGGACTGAACTGTTGTCATGAAGAGCAGACATTTGTAAAAATCATTGAGGTATAGATTTAGGATCAGTACACTTTATGCACTTTACTATATATAGATACAAGCTGCCTCCCAAAGAGAACCGCTAATAATGCAATGTCTTGCTTAGCTCTCTTCCACGTCTATGCCCTGGTGTCTATTGGAAAAGAACTTTAAAATTGATGATCTCAAATGTTCGTACCTTTTTATTTTCTAAAGTCCATAAATTAGCAGCAATCATACATTTTTATTACACCATCTCTCTTAAGTGAAGAGCTGAAAAAAATAGGTAAAAATAGATTTTCAATCCTAAAGGCAGGTCATTGTCTATGGCTATGGTGTTGGTCCACTGCAGGAGGGGCTTGAGAGGCAAGTGTGAGCTGGAATCTGGCCCTTGGACTACTTGCCAAGCTCAGTACTTGAAGGCAGTGTCTGCCTACAGTGGCACCTTTTCTCATTTGCACCGATACACATTTTCTAACACCATAGGTCAGTAGCAGCTCTACACAAAGATGATGCTTAGGGCATAATAATTAATTTTTAGGACCAAGGGTATATTTGGTGATCTTTGGAATAGAAGCCAGTCTCTACCTGTGTCTTAGCAACCTAAGGAATGTTTTATAAAATAAAATAGGAAGAATCAATATCAATTCACGTGTACATTCTACTTAAGTATTAAGAATATAACCTCTAGTTGGCCTAGTAATGGCTTAATGGGGCAGAGCCATATGGAATTTGGGGGAGAATGAATTTTTGCTGACCTAAGAGATCCATACTTTTAGCTGAGCCCCTTGGAGAGATTGAGCTCATCTTGACTTCTAAAGAGGTCAGCGTGGCCATCACTTATAGGAAAGCATGTGAGCAAAAGATGGCAGGAAGCATCTAATCAAATCTGTCCTAGC